ACTTGACATCTAAATTCCTTTATAATTTGATATCTATAATTACAGACATTACATTACAATTTCAGATATTTCAAATGATTCCTTTTCATATACTACATGATTCAGTTAGATTGGCCTACTATGCTCCTTGAATCTGGTATTCTATTTTCCATCTCTGCACCTTCACCCAGGCTTTTTTTTTTAATATAAATTTATTTTTAGCTTTCAACATTCACTCCCACAAGTTTTTGAATTCCAAATTTATACCCCATCTCCCCCCTCCTCCCACCCCAAGATGGCATGCATTCTGAATATCCCTTTCCCTAGTCTGTCCTCTCTTCTATCTCTCTCCCCTTCTCTTATCCCCTTCCCCTTCTATTTTCCTGTAGGGCAGGATAGACTTCTGTACCCCATTTCCCATATTTCTTATTTCCCAGTAGCATGTGAAAACATTTTGTTTTCAGTTATGCAAAACACGTCCATAGTAGACATGTTGTGAAAAACTAACTCTATTTCCCTTAATCCTATCCTGCCCTCCCATTTATTCTATTCTTTCTTTTGACTCTGTCCCTCCTCAGAAGTATTTACTTCTGATTACTCCCTTTCCCAATCTGCCCTCCTATCATCCCCCTGCTCTGTTGTCCCCTTCCCCCCCTATTTTCCTGTAGGGTAAGACAGATTTCCATACCCAATTGAATGTATATGTTATTCCCTCCTTAAGCCAAATCCTATGAGAATAAGATTCACTCATTCCCTCTCACCACTTCCCCTTTCCCCTCCACTGTAAGAGACTATTCTTTTCTGGTTTTTTTTGTGAGATAATTTACCCCATTCTACCTCTCCCTTTCTTCTTCTCCAAGTATAATCCTCTCTCATCCCTTAATTTTATTCTCCAGATATGACCCCTTCATCTTCAACTCACCTTGTGCCCTCTATCTATCTATCTACATATACATACATATAATTTTTTTTCTCCAACTACCCTAATACTGACAAAGGTCTCATGAGTTATAAATATCATCTTTCCATGCAGGAATGTAAACAGTTCAATCTTAATAAGTCTCTTATGATTTCTCTTTCCTGTTTACCTCTTCATGTTCCACTTGAGTCCTGTATTTGAAAGTCAAATTTTCTATTCAGCTCTGGTCTTTTCATCAAGAATGCTTGAAAGTCCTCTATTTCACTGAATGACCATTTTTTCCCCTGAAGGATTATACTCAGTTTTGCTGGGTAGGTGATTCTTGGTTGTAATCCTATCTCCTTTGCCCTCTGGAATATTATATTCCATGCCCTGAGGTCCTTTAATGTAGAAGCTGCTAAATCTTGTGTTATCCTGATTGTGTTTCCACAGTACTTGAACTGTTTCCTTCTGGCAGCTTGTAATATTTTCTCCTTGACCTGGGAACTCTGGAATTTGGCTACAATATTCCTAGGAGTTTTCCTTTGGGGATCTCTTTCAGGAGGAGATCTGTGGATTCTTTCAATTTCTATTTTGCCCTCTGGTTCTAATATATCAGGGCAGTTTTCCTTGATAATTTCTTGAAAGATGATGTCTAGGCTCTTTTTTTGATCATGGCTTTCAGATAGTCCAATAATTTTTAAATTCTCTCTCCTGGATCTATTTTCCAGGTCAGTTGTTTTTCCAATGAGATATTTCACATTGTTTTCTAATTTTTCATTCTTTTGGATTTGTTTACATGTCTGATTTCTCATAAAGTCACTATCTTCCAATTGCTCTATTCTAATTTTTAAGGAAGTATTTTCTTCAGTAAGCTTTTGGACTTCCTTTTCCATTTGGCCAATTTTGCTTTTTAGGGCATTCTTCTCCTCATTGGCTTTTTGGACCTCTTTTGCCATTTGGGTTAGGCTATTTTTTAAGGTGTTATTTTCTTCAGTATTTTTTTGGGTCTCCTTTAGCAAGCTGTTGACTTGTTTTTCATGATTTTCTTGCATCACTCTCAGTTTTTCCTCTACTTCCCTTACTTGCTTCTCAAAATCCCTTTTGAGCTCTTCCAAGGCCTGGGACTGATTCATATTTTTCTTGGAGGCTTTGGATGTAGGAGCTTTGACTTTGTTGTCTTCTTCTGGTTGTATATTTTGATCTTCTTTTTCACCAAAGTAAGATTCTATGTCTGACTCTTTTTGCTGCTTGCTCATGATCCCAGCCAATTACTTGAGTTTTAAACTCTTTGTTAAGGTAAGAGTCTGCTTCCAATGTGGAGAATGTATTGTCCCAAGCTTCAGGGGTCTGTATAGCTGTTTTCAGAGATACTTGTAGGGCCCTGTAAATTTTCAGTTCTTCCAAGGTGGTATGATAAGGGGCGAGGTGTTTACTCCTTTCCTGGCCTGTGACCACAAGTATTCCTTTCTGTCCCATAACTGTGAGGAAGGGTTCCTCTCCACAGCCACTCCAAGCTCTACCACGCCAGCATTACTCCTCACCCCAGCACCACCGCCCAGAACTGTGACCCAGATCCAAACAGGGGCAAAGCAAGAGATTCCTGCCTCAGCACTGGTAAAGAGATCCCTGCAATCCCTCTCTGATCAGCCACTAGATTCCCCCTCAGTCTGTGGGCCAGAAGCTCGGGAAGCAGCTGCACCCCACCAGGGCCACGCTCTTGGGGAATGGAGCTGAAACCCCACCTTTCTATTTCAGCACGGACAGAAACAGACTTTTCCCACTGACCTAAGTTGTCTTTGGCATTCATGGATTGAGAAGTCTGGAAACCGCCACAGCTGCCCGAGATTCAGTCCTCTGAGGCCTGCTCCAGGTTTGCTGTGGCCTGTGTGCCCATGCCGCGGCAATACACCTTTCTGATCAATCATCCAGGCTGTCTTGGGCTGGAAATTTGTTTCACTCTGTCTTTTTGTGGGTTCTGCTGCTTCAGAATTTGTCTAGAGCCATTTTTTATGAGTATTTGGAGGGGTTTGGAGGAGAGCTCAAGCAAGTCACTGCTTTCACTCTGCCATCTTGGCTCCACCCCTCCCCCCCACCCCCGGCTTTCTGTCCCCTAGACCTAGAATGTACTTCCTCCTCATTTTTCCGTCTTACAATACCTCACTTTTTCAAGGGTTTGCCTTCACATTCTCTAGTAGAATGTGGGGCCAAAACCATTTTCATTTATCCTTGTGTCCTTCACAATACTATCTAGCACATAACAGGCACTTAATAAAAGTTTGCTTGCTTCTTGAATAATACTGTCAGGAGATATTCTCAATAACTAGGTCAAAGGATATTACTTTCAAAATTTAGTAGCTTACTGTCAAACTGCTTTCCAAAAAAAATTTCACTAATTTATAGTTAATTCTTAGGCATCTATTTTGTGTTTATATTTTTGTTATCCTAAAAGATAAAATAAAATTCACTTTAAACTTTATGCTTTTCTTTCCTGCATTCAAATACAACCAAAAATTTCTCTAAAACAACTTTAATTCAAATTATTCAAAATCCTGTGATAATTCTCTAACAAAAGAAATTATTACAAAAGGCTTCTTGTGGAAAGTTACAATTTTAAAACTGATTACTTTGCAGAAGTTAAGTCGGTTTTCAAGTGGAATTCCTTAGTGTAGCACAATTCAAAACACTAGTGTTTCTTTGCTGAAGTTCAGAAAAGCACAGTAACTAGAAGATAAATATTATATTTGAATTATTAATGCTATGATTATAATTATTGGGTCCTGAAGAGCCAATTTTCCCACTTATAGGCTATCATCTATATGAATATCTGTTCACGAATGGGATGCCAACCAAAGTTAAATGTTACTATCTTTTTATGGCAACAATAACAAAACCACTGGTAGGGCTGTTAGGATCAAATGAGATACTCTATCTAAAGTACTTTGCTGGCCTTAAAGCATTATATAAGTGTTGGGTTTTTTTCCCTTCATTCACTTGGTTTTTACTTTGTGCATTGTTTGGTTGAACTCCTTTGAGTAATTATGGATCTTACTTAAGAGGTTCTGCAATCCATATCAAACTAACTCATAGGATAATAGTTCCAAATTCTATCTGGTTATAATTTTATATTTAGATTGACCCTGACTGATCCACCTCAACACCCTAAGCCCATTTCTTTCTCATTTCCCTTTTTGCTATTATAATACTTGTCTTATTTTTTTCCACGTTTTATTACTTCCTATCAACAGAAACATTTTAAGAAAGCTCTTCAAATCAATGAGATTTTTAAGATAACTACATAAAGACACCTTTAGGGTCATATTAAAAGATGTCAATACCTTAATAATAGTAAAAGCAGTTAAAAAAATACTAATTATTTGCTTTGTTTGTAAATGTACCACAAGGTCCTTACAAAATGAGAATACTTAGTAGATACATCATTAAAATAAATACATTCTAAAATTTTTTCACTTAATGGAATTTTAATGACCACACTGAAATAATTTTGATTAAACATTTCTAACTCATTATTTAAAATAATAGTTTATTCACCTCTAACAATTTCATTGTTCACTTTTATCCAATAGTAAGTAACTTAGAACATCATACAGTATTTTTGAAATTATCATCTCAGTTTTTATAAATCACAAGGACACATAATGTGGATGAGAATTACATGCTGTTTCCAAGCTATGCTGCCTCTGCTCTAGTCAACCACTTCATTCTTTTCATCCCTCCTCCCAAAAGAATCCTGGCCTCTCCCATGCAATAATAGGCTTCCCTACTTCTGATACCTTGTCTGGGATTGGACTTCCACATCACTTCCTTACCATTTCTAAAAAAGCTGCACAATGCCCCTCTAGCACCACGCCCTCCACTTTTCCACTCCTCCCTTCCCCCCCTCCCACCACTCCCTCCCTCCAGGCCCAACCCTTTAAGTATAGGCTTCCCTTTAGAAACTGAACTCCTGAAAGGAAGGGACATATCTATATTGCGTTCTTATGTTTGCATCTCTAGCATTTGGCCTTACCAAATGACAGGGCATAGTAAGCACTTGATAACTGGTCCATCATAATTTTCAATCATGTATGTGGTGACTTGCATAAAGTAAGAATATACTTACTGTTGAGAATTCACAGTACTGTTTGCTTCTAAAAACACTTGTGATAAGATTGTGAAGAGAGTCAAGCGCATTTGTGGATCTTTGGTTGGTTGAAGACAAGTCTTAATGATAGGAATAAAGTAATTAAGAGCTTTACCTAATACAGGACCTGAAAAACAAATTGAAAATTTGTTTTAGTAGCTTGGCAGTTTATTTATATAATTGAACTGGAATCCAGAAGATGTCATTACAAATTATACTTATTTTTATTTATGACAGAACATATAAATAAATATAGAAGAGGAATGAATGTTTTCCATGACATATATAAAACAGGCTTAAATGGAAAAGGTGATTAAACTTGGAAAAGTTAGAGTATGACAGTGTTTTTAAAACTTTCAGTTTATAATTCCCTGCTTTTGAGATGCTTGAGTATTTTTCCAATAAAAGGAGTTGAGGACAATTTAAAACAGAATACTATACTCACACATTTAATTAAATGATTTTTTAGTATCAAACTTTTTTTTTCATTCCCTCCCCCCCAATCATGTAATAGCATTTAACTTTTTCTAACTACACAAAAAGATAGTTTTCAACATTCTCTTTTATAAGATTTTGAGTTCCAATTTTTTTTCTCCCTCCCTTCCCCTCTCAAATATTTTTCTGGAACAGCAAATTAACAAGAAATTTTCAAATAGTTAAAAGATCAACCTAAGTTAACTAGGTTTCTTAATTTACCTACAACTGCCCAAACATTTCTCAAACTTTGATGTAGTGACATTAATATTGATTTAAAATGTTCTAGGCTATTGAGATCCTAAATAACAGTAATGATATTTAATATCTGGAAATTCATTGTCACAAAATAATCTCTGGTGTCTAAACTTGTATTGCAACAACGCACAATAACACAGACCATAAAACATTTTCTTTGCAATACACTGTGCCAATAAATAAAGTTTTAATTTAAGAACAAAAGGTTTACTCATATTAAAGTGAGTTCAGCTACAGATCCTTTTGCTAATAATGTAATCTATAACCAAGCAAAGCAGTCTGCACTTCTGTCTTTTAAAGATCCAGCATCTCAAAACATTTGAGTCAAAATCCTTCAAAATGAAAAAATTGAGGCAGTAGGAGGGAGAAGCATAATTAAACAAGATGCTACATGCAGGAATGAAAAGAAAATGAGAATTATTTTAAAAGGAGTTGTACCAGTTGAGCCAAAAAAGAGACAACAGGCATATATCAGCATAGGTGAATGCAAAGCAGTTGCTCAGAATTTTGATGATTTATTTTCTTTTAGCAACATACATCAGGCAAAATCTAGAAATTCTTCACTCAGAGGAAGAGGAGCAGATCAGATAGTAATACTCTCCAAATGCTTACTGAAGAGTTTTATTTACAATGAAAAGTTAACACAACATAAAAAAAAGGTAATGCACAGAACTAGAGACAAACATGAGTTTCTGTGAATGAGACCTTTTCTTCCCCCTGACATAAGAGTCTTTCATTGCCTACCTACCCAGGCTGTTATAAAAGTAAAGTGCTTTGTACACCATAAAGGATTATACAAATATAAGTTATTATTGGGTTCTAGTTATGAATCTTAACTAGCTATTTATGCAAAAACTTCATGTATATTTAAAGGTTGCTTTGAACAAATTTTGTGTAACGCAAATAAAATAAAAATTGGACTCATCTTTATCCTATGGAATTGAGAAAAAATATTTTAAAAATTGGTTAATAATTGCAAGTATTAAATTATACTTCAAGTAGATTAACATTAATTTTAAATTGTTTAAAAATACATTATCAAAACAGAAATAAAAATATACTTCATCATAAATATATGTACGTATAAATGTTTTATATTTAATTCTGTCCACTGGGGAAAAGAGAGATCAAAGAGAATGGGGTCAAAATTCACACAGATTTTTTGGCTCCTTGTATTCAATTAGGTAAACTACTGAAGCTTTTCGCAAAATCTATAAAATTGGCAAGACGAAAGAGAAAAATTTACCTCATTAATGAGTCCTTTGTAGATTGCTTATAAAACACTTCTAAATCCTCTGACCAATTACACAAGAATTTATTATGCACCTACTATGTGCCAGGCACTGATGAATATATAATGTTAAATAGAATTAATATAAGCAGGGAATTTAACTGCATAGCATTTCAAATAATATAGGAAATAAAAAGAAAACAGAAACAGCTTTTAAAAATAAAATTCTATTCCAACACTTAAATAATATTCTTTTCTAGTTACATTTTACTAACTCAAAGTGAGAATTCCAGGCTGTAGCTATAACCACAAACCAGTTTTCAACACAGAAAGGCAAAACACCTAGGTAATTACATTTTGAAGATGGGCTGTTTAGAGACAGCTAGTTGAATTGGACCAAGTTTCAACATAACCAGTTCCTTGATTGAACTGAATACTTTTCTTTCTTCTCACACTGGTTTTCCGATGCAGAAATGTACTCTAAGAAGCAAATTCAGAGCCAGCCTTTAGTTAGTACTTCCTAACGACTTACTTGCTTGTTTTTTGTTTTTTTTTGGCTAGGCAATGGGGTTAAGTGACTTGCCCAGGGTCACACAGCTAGTAAGTGTTATGTGTCTGAGGCCAGATTTGAACTCAGGTCCTTCTGAATTCAGGGCCAGTGCTCTATCCACTGTGCCACCTAGCTGGCCCCCCTAACGACTTATACTCTAGAAAAGACATTCTGGATCCAGCAATGGATCTTGCATTGGAATCAACTTTTAGAAACAGTATGAAAAATGGTGATTAGAATAATGTAAGAGAGAAAAGCCAAAAGTATAAAAGCAAAGGAATACCAAAAGAAGGACAATCATTGGAAATTTGTTACTGCTAAGCAACTTTTAAAGTCTCTAAAAGTTTCTGACATTTATAATTAAGGATCAAACTACTTCCTGATAAAATAAATTTTACTGTGTTCCTATAATTTCAAACACTGAAATTTAACTTGTTACTTGATAATGATCAAATTTCCATCTTACTCCATTTAGATATTAATCATGGAAATCTATCTAGATTTTCTCTCCAACAGACAAGACATCTAACTCTTTTACATACTGGGCTTAGTTTTTTCTACCTTTATTAGTCCGTGTTCACATGTTCCCTCCATCAGGAATGTCTCCCCTACATTTCTTTATTTCATTTTTGTTTTTTTATCCCTCAAAAGAGCACATAGGGAGAATTTAATAACTCCTTGCTGACTGACTGACTAATTCATTTACCAAAGTCCTACCAGGGCTTCCAGGACTGCACCAGACACTAACCACCTCTTCCTTTCTATAAACTGCACTTGTTTGTCTTTACTGAGGCATTCAACATTTAAATGAAAACAAGTAGATATTATCTTCTATCATATTTTTAAAGTTCCACATTAAGAATTTTCTTTGTATCTAAGACATCTCCAAAGGCCTCATGATGGAAAATGCTATCTACATCCAAAGAAAGAACTATGGAGTTTGAATGCACATCGAAGCATACTATTTGCTATTTTTTTCTTGTGTTGTGTTTTGTTTCCTCTTTCTGGTAGTTCCTCCTACTGATTCTAATCCTTACTTATAATATCACTAATATGAAAATATGTTTAATAGGAATGTATATGTATAGCCTACATCACATATTGTGCCATCTTGGGGAGGGATTCTGAAAGGGAGGGAGAGAAAAATTTAAAACTCAAAAGCTTATGGAAGTGATTGTTGATAAATCAAAATAAATTAATTTAAAAAAATATGAAGAAATTTTTAAAAAAGATTTAAAAAAAAGAATTTTCTTTGTCCTGTTCTTTGATTTTAAATTCTGTCGAATTTAGAAGTGGATTTATATTCCCTCTTCCCCCAATCCACCCCAAGCCTAGAAATTCCTGGAGAGAAGGGCTTTATGGGCTTCCCTTTCTGAAGGGCAAATGCCTTTTCCTCTATCCTTAACACACACGCACACATCTAATGTTTAATAAGGTATAAACTATGGAAACTGCATATCTAATCAATGCTGGAAATTTAGGTGAATTTTGTGAGTTCTAGTTCTAGCTCTTTCAATATCATGTAAGACTGAACCACATTATACATCATTACGTTGCAATTCTCCTCTTTACAAGAGATTTTCTCAGGCTTCTTTAAATTCTATATGATTAATTTATATATTGTCCAAAATAATTGACAAATAACATGTAAATTATTTTAATATGTTTGAATTTTATGTATTGTATTATTTATAGTTAGTATCAATGTTTTTACGAATCCAAAAAGTTGGCAGGAAAAATTACTTGGATGAAATAGAAAAGTGGGGAAAGCTTTATGGAAGATTATAGTTTAAAAAGAGAAAAGATTTTAATCAAATTTGACACAGATTTTTAAAAAATTCAAATACATATATACATTATATGTATAACATGCAGAAAAATTATGTGCAGGTTATTTGATGATATCAGAGAATTCTAAATTTTGAAGTGCTTACTTTAAAAATATACAATGAAAACACCACAAAAATATCATATTTATGGGAAATGTTTCTAAAATTTCAGATTTGGATTATAACAGAAGATAATTAGGGCGACAGAGAGAAGCATTCCTACAAAATTTAATGGACTGATAATTCAGTTTTGTTGGGATGCTAAGCTACACATATGTTTAAGATAATACTTAAGGAACAAGATTAAAATATTCTCAAGGTTTAACATTAGAAACATATAACTAAGGCATATTTTCTATCAAATACATTAAATTTATTCCATTCTTCATCTTTTTCAGAACACAGGAACAAAATTTCAGCAAGAAACAACAGATAATTTTAAAGGAACAAATCACACAACTCGATCAGACAAAATGGTTAGATAATCATCACAAACAAAAAGGACAAGTTTGCTTTTTTCACAAATGTTAAACAGAATTGATATAAATCATACCTATAAAGTTAATAAAGTATAACAAGATAATTTCCCTTAACAGTGACAACAATTTAAGGTGTTTCTTGATATCTTATATTCTAACCTCCATACAATAACCATTTGGGGGGGGGGGCTTACCTGACTGAGTGACAATTACTTCAAACTGTAGTAGTTCAACTGAATGACAGTTCCAATCCTTATGTGATAAGGTGAGCCATTCCATAAGATGATCCATATGCTGCTGATAGAGATCTAGGGTCCCATCACATTTCTGAATCAGCGCTAATAAGTTCATTGTCTCCTGAACCTGTTAAATATAAAAGCTTGGAGTAGTCCCAGTGTTTAAGATTAAGGGAACATTCTAGTGTAGTCACATCTTTATTAAGCATGTGAGAGTGCATTTACATTTACACAAATTACATTATACTACATTTACATAAGAAACTAGGAAGACCAAAGGATTGTAGGATCACAGATTGAGAGCTGGAAGGACCCACAGAGACCATTCAAGCCTAACTCCTTCATTTAACAAATGTAGAAACTGAAGCCAGAGAAGCTAAGTGATTTGATCAGGATCACACAGGTATTAAGTGTCTGAGGCAGGATTTGAACCTTATTCACTCAACATGCGGCTTCTGAGAAATAATCATGCTCTAGTACTTCCAGGCACATACACCTTCTCCCCCACCTAAAAAATGTAAGGGGGAGGGCAGCTAGGTGGTACAGTGGATAGAGCACCGGCCCTGGATTCAGGAAGACATGAGTTCAAATCTGGCCTCAGACACATAACACTTACTAGCTGTGTAACCCTGGGCAAGTCACTTAACCCCACTGCCTAGTCAAAAAAAAAATGTAAGGTGGAAAATTACAAAGAACAAGTTTGTCTCTAAAGAAGAGATAGGAGAGGACATCTCCCCATTCCTTTGACTGGTTTTGCTGATTTTTTTTTCTTTTCCTCCTCTTTTTTTTTTTTAAAGAATATTCTTTGTTATATGGGATGGCTTGCCATAATGGGGGAGAGGAGGATGAATACACAGGGAAATGTAAATGATGAAAAAATGAGATATCAATAAAAAATTATTTTAAAAATGAAAAATCACCCTCAATATTAACATTTTAAAATTATTTGTGCATCTCTAATTATTAGTTTTGAACAAATGAGGATTTTAGCCAATATGGCTGCCTGAAGAGGAGGCAGACCCCCAGCTCCCACACATATACTACAGCAAAACCATGAAGTCTGCACCAGACCAAAAAATGATCAAGAAATACATTAAGAAACCACAATAAGTGATTTCTTCCATCTGAGAACTGTATAAGAAGTAAGCTAGAAGGCCAGTGATGGAGGAAAAGGGATCCCTTCCACAAATCAAGTGACAACATGAATAGAGATGGGAAATAAACAGACTGCAAGGGTGGTATCCAGAGACCCCAAGAGTGGAATGATCCCCTAAGAAAGCCCTAGGGTGGTTAGAAAACCCAGGATGGAGACCTTAGAAGCTCTAGGAGAGTAATAGCACAGTGATCAACAACCAGTGTGGCGCTAGAGCATTCAAACCTAATATCCCAGACCTGAGGTCCCCAACACACTGTCCTGAGATGCCAAAGGAGGCAATGAAGATTTGAGCCTCAAAGACTGGGCAGGATGGGAGGTGGGGAACCCCCTACAGGAACCTAGGGAATCTGGGGTAAAACCAACAAATCACCTCACTCAATAACATGGGATAGAACCTAGCTCTGGTAAAAAAAACAAAACAAAAACAAAAACAAACCCGAAGATAGGAACTAAAGCTGGAGAGATAAATAAATCAAAGACCAGTATAAAATATTATCACAAATATAGACAATTCCCCAAGAGAAAAAACTCCACAACAACTGCAAATACAAAATCAAAAGAAAAAATGGATTTTTCACAAGGACTACTTGAATATCTAAAAGAAATTATGAGGTAAAAAAAAAAAGAAATTATCTTTGGAGGAAAGAACAGGAAGAAAGCTTGAAAGAAAAAGGGGTAAACTTTACCTATGAAATAAACTCCCTGAAAACTAGAACAGACCAAATAAAAATCAATGACTTCATGAGACAGAAAGAAGTATTAGAAGAAAATTAAAAGATAGGGAAAAAAAATAGAAGGAAATGAATATCAGAAACAATTGACCTTAAGAGCAAGTCAAAGAGAGATCATTTAAAAATCACTGAACTCCCTGAAAAAGTATAAGAAAAAAATTAAGAAATAATAAACAAAAACTGCCTAGATCTATTCAACCAGAGGGCAAAATAAAGATAGGAAGAATCCACCAATTACTCCCTAAAAGGAACCCCCAAAAGGAAAGGTTCCAGGAATAACAGAGCCAAAATACAAAGCTCCTATACAAAAGAAAAACTACTACAAACGTCCAGAAAGAAGCAGTTCAAAAGGAACTACATGAAGGATCATGCAAGCCCTGGCAGCTTTTACTATAAATGAGAAATCTTGTAATACAATATTCCAAATGGAAAAAGATACCAGCTTACAACCAAGAACAACTCATCCTGTAAAACTGAGTAAAATCCAACAGGAGAAAAAAAAAATAGATTTTTAATAGACTAGAGGACTTTCAAGCATTTCTGAGAAGAAGACCAAAACTGAGTAGGAATTCTGGAATGTAAACATAAGAGAATCCTAGAAAGGTAAAATTATGTGACTAACTGGAAAGAACTATATGATAAGCTAGTGCTAATGTTCCTAAAGGGAAAGTAGAAATGTATCTACCTTCAGAACCTTGATGTCTTTGAAGGGTACTGAGGGAATTAAATAAGAAAAATGGAGGTCCTGGGTGGTGGATTAGTTCTCTTTTGAGAGAAGAAAGAAGGTATATAGTAGAAACAAAGAAAAAATGGATGGAACTTGGTATTTTTCATAACTAGGATGTGTGAGAAGAAGATATAAACATGGAAGAAAGAGTGGGGAGAGCAGGCATCCCACTTTTATCTAAAAGGGACAAAAAAGAGGTTGAACACACACAATTCACACAGGTAGTCTGGTCTAGAAATACATCAAACTAAACAGAGAAACAAGCAGGGATAGGGAAAAAAGTAGATTAAGAGGAAGTATAATACTGGTGAGGGAATGATCACAAGGATAACAAACCTCTTGATCCTGAAGGGTAGATTAAAAGGAGGGTTCGTGGAAGGTGGTAAGAAAAACAAAGAATTAAAACTAAGAGTGTGCTTTAGATCGTCTCTTAAGACCACTGGGGGAATGGCTGAATAAACTGTGGTATATGAATATAAAGGAATATTATCCATCAGAAGAAATGATGAAAGAGACAATTTCAGAGAATCCTGAGTAGTGTATAAACGGACAGAATGAAAAGAGCAAAATCAGAACAATGTGTATAAAGACAGTGACATTGTAAAGACAAACACCTTGGAGAAACTCAAGAACTCTGATCAAAGCAATAACCAACCATGTCTTCAGAGGACCCACAAGGCAGCATACTATTTACTTCTGACAGAGAGGTGATGGACACAAGGAGCAGAAAGATATATCTATTTTGGGGCATGGCCACTGTGTGGATTTGGTTTCCTTGACTACGCTTATTTGTTACAAGAGATTTTTATTCATTCTTTCTTTCCCTTGGTTAATTAGAGAGTGAGGAGAGGGATAAGCTAGCAACAGTGTTGCCAAAAAAGAGGGCCACTGAAACATTTTGCACAGAAAAGAACAGAAAGATGTTTAGGAGGAAGTACAGAGAAGCAGGATAGTTTTGAAAGCAATGTATTTGTTCAGTGGTTTCAGTTGTGTCTGACTTTTCATGATCTCATTTGGGGTTTCCTGGACAAAGATACTGGAATGGTTTGTCATTTCCTTCTCCAGCTCATTTTAGAGATGGGGAAACTAAGGCAAACAGGGTTAAGTGACTTGCCCAGTATCACACATCTATTAAGTGTCTGAGATCAAATTTGAACTCAGGTCTTCCTGCCTCTCTATCCTCGCTGTGTGAATGCATAAAATGTGTTATATACTTTTAAAAAAACAAGTGGTATCAATGTAGATTCATGATTTCATAGAGAATCCAATTTTTGTATTCTGTTACATGTATGGAAATGCTTTTGTTGTTGTTTCAATTAAGAATAAAAAATAAATTTAAGAAAAAAAGCAATTCTACACAAATCCAAAGTATTTTGTGGGACGGTATTATATTATACAGCATTTTCACTCTTAATTTGCAACACAGAACTACAAGAAAACTGTCATTCTTGAAGGATGTGGGCATAAACTGCTCTTCTTCCCACCACCAGAACAACCTCCAAACCAAACAATCCACCAAGAACTCAGACATTTAAAGAGAGAGGGAAGCCCATATTTTAAAAATTCTTCATCTGGGTAACATTAAACAACAGATTCACCGAAGTGATTTTTTTCCCCTTTATTTAGCTCTTTCACTTCTTCCTGGATTGTAAAGTCAAAAGGACTTTAGTCAGTTTCTAAAGCCAGGGGCAATGTACTAAAGATGTCCCATTGATAAAGTAGGCCTCCTTTTAACTCCTACCTTTTCCTCCTTTTCCTCAGGGTTTAAAAATATTAGGAAGTATTCAAGTCCCCCTTACGGTAACTCCTTGGTAGCCTCACCCAGTCTGTTTTTCAAAATCTGCTTCTTAATTTGATGGCTGTTCAACTTCCTTCTCTATTGCTTCTAGGCATCATATATTTCCAGGGTCTATCTTTTACAAGTATTTATGGCCCTATCAGTGACAACCTGTCTCCTAAGACACATGCCCTTTAGGAAGGTTGTTTGTAAAAACAGAAATGAAACAAAGTTTAAACAGGTACCTAACAGGTGAGAGAATGCAATGAGATTCCTAAAATGCAAAGTTCCAAGTTGGGCACAATGGGTCTTATAAATTCTATGGGAAGGTCTCACTTTTGTCATGCTAATAGCAAAACAACTAGGTTTCAGAGAAAAATTGCCTAAGGTCAGTCAGGAAACAGAGAAAAACAGCAGGGAAAAACACATTTCTCAGTCTGAAAACAGCATGATTAAAACAGGGAAAATGACATCTCATTCCAATAAATCCTTTTGATTCTGACAGAATTGAAAATCTGGAGGAAGTTCAGAGGTTAGTGTATACGTATGTATGTGTGTTTATGTATGTCTATCATGTATCTGTGCACACCGATAAACAATGGAGAAAAAATTATTTTGTAAAACTCGGTCACAATTGAGTGGGGAAATTTTCTTCTCCAGACATTCAGCCACAAAGTAAGTACTTTTTCTTTTTTAATGAAAATTTAAATGTAGAGGAAAAGGTTTATGGCAGCTTTTTTTTTACATGCTTCTTTTGCAAAACACTCCAAAATTAAGACTCCAATTTAATTTTGTCTTCACTCTCAGATACTAAAATAAATTGGCAGTTGGAGGCTATGTAAAATTCTATGTGCATCCTAAGGCCACATCTTGAGTGACTCATTCCAAATGTTCTAAATTCTTTAATCTTTGCTAGTCAGTTTTAGTCATATGTGCCTGAGGCCTGAAACTCAAGATCAGAAAAGATTTATAGAAGACAGTTCCATTTCATTTGGAGAAATAATCATCTTTCTAGTAGTAAGCTTCATCTTGTCAAGAGGCAATGAAGGGAGTTCTCAATTAAACTCACCTTTTCACGAAGGCCTGCAGCACCTGAGACAGCCATGACTGTCACCAAAACTTCCATGAGCTGCAAACTTGATTCTTTGCAATCTTCCTGACCCACCTGGAGTAATGCTTGTACACAACAAAGCAACTGCTCCATATAATGGCTCTATAAAAAGTGTGCAAGTAATAAAATTAGGCATTTAAAATAATATATGACAGCTTAGTTTAAGTCATATGATCTTGTGCAAGTCAATCTGAGTATGATTCCTCATCAGTAAAACATGGGAATATTATATAATATCAGTTGATAACATCCCTTTCCAGTTTAAAATTCTATGACTTTATGATTATGATTATTATTATAGTTGTTCAATAAATGCTACTGATTGATTGAAGGACTGTGTAGAGCAGTGGGGAAAAAACTGTTGGACTAGGATTTTGGGATGTCTTGATTCTAAGTTTCAGCTTTTTCACTAACTAGTTTTTTAGCTTTGGATAAATTACTAAAGTTTATTAAGGGCCAGTTTTTCTTCCATAAAACAAACCGGATAATATGAGCTTGCTCTAGAATCCCATTCTAAAATATTAATTTTAAATTAAATAATACTTTAAAATAAATATTAATATTTTAAAATATTAAACTTTAAGGTTCAAAAGGTGCTTTAAATATATGATTTCATTTGATTTGGAAACTGAGGTTGACAGAAGGTATACTTGCTGGAAGTCACATGGCTAGTAAGTGTCTGATGTATGATTCAGACTTAGGTCTTCTTGACTCTATATCTGACATTCTATCTACTATGTCACTTATCCTCCTTCAAAATAACTATAATAATCATGGTAATTAAATGTAAAAATCCAGTAGGGCACAAAATTATTTGCTTTGCCCATTCCCCTCCATGAAAGCATGCAGCGTTACACAATAATAAATCAATGTTGACAGCCCACATCAAATTAGTGCTGTACACAATAACAAGGCCAGGATCTGGATGGAACACCAACCCTAACCCACAAAGCAGACCTGTGATGGAACAGGGAACTTTGAGGCTTGCTGTAGGTTTGGATCTGAGATTACTAGACATGGAAATGCTAATGACCCTAGCTAAAATGTGCCCATGTTTTTATTCCCTATTTCAAGTTTTATTTTCCCCTTTTTATTTGAATTATTATTTGACCACATGTACTTTGCCTGATTTTCTTTCATCTCACAATAATGCTTTTCAGGTCCTGACCTAAGTAAAACTGTTTGGCTTACTTGAGGGGCTATCAAATTATAAATTAAGAGGAAATAAATCCAGTTTTTTAAAAAGTAGATGCCATTGTTAGCTTTCGTTACATTACCTAATTACACATGCAAATTTAAGGGCTTATGAAATATACATACTCTATACCTATTATAATATATATATACACACACAAACACGAATATATGTGAGCTTTCGACAGGTGAACATCATCATTTGAAAATGAATCGATGCAAAAATATCTTTTGGGTGAAAATAATTATATGTTTTTAAATAGCATTCTAGTTTTTCCTAATTGTAATAATAAAGTTTTAATCAGTGAATTTTCAATGTCTTTTGAAAAAAATCACAGCAGGAATACCATTCTATTTGTGTATTGATTAAATGAGATATTTGAAATTGTCAAAGACTTGTACACTTAAGAGTCTGTGTACAGAGGGGATTTTAACAGTGTAGTAATGGTGAATGTGTTAAAATAACTATTATTTTCCTTTAGTTAAACTGGAATAAGTGTTTATGTTATCATACAATTTCCTTATTTCACTTACCTGTCCTTAAACAAACATATTTCAAAGAAAAAGATCAAGTTCCTTTCTTTTAGCTAAGCCCCAGGTGCAGGACTTGGCTCAACACCCCTGGGAAAGTGCCTTTTACCAAAACTTACACTTAGAGGCAACAATAAAGGAGGTCTGTGACTGGGCCCTCCATTTAAAATGTACCTCTATGAATTACTAATGGTTTGTTTTTATATGTGAACTTCTTTTTTCAGTTTTCTCTAAAAAGCTTTTCTTAACTTACAAATTAACTTTCTGGTAGCACTGTTGTCTTTAAAAAAAAAAATCTCATTACAAAATGCTTGGGCCCTTGCTCCAGCTTTGAAATAGAATTGCTTTAGCTCAAGCTACAGTAGGGCATTTGAACAGTCTTGTTTTTTCCACGCAAAATGTTAAGTTTCTTTTTAAATGGATTAGAAATTTATATCCATATTTAGAATACCCCATCTCCTTAATACTCTTTGGGGGTATTTGAGTGTCAAAAACATATTTACATAATTAAGTGATGAAATTAAAGTAGTTATGAAGAGCCAACTTAAAAAAACTGTATGAATGAGGTGAATTTTTAGAAGGGTGACTATGTTAAGAAAAATGGTCTGGGAAAATTTGTTTTTTAGTGGACAAACCATTAAAATTGAAGATAGCACATGTTCTCTGACCTTGAAGATTATCATTTCTGATGAAGTGATTAAATTTTGGGGAGACCAACATGATATAGAAAGTACATTTTTCCTGATACAAAGTTTTTAACACAAGGCATTTTTTTTTGACACCTGTGAGACTTATAAATTGTATACTTCCAGAACATTTTTTAGAAAGGGCAAGAATTTGCAGTTCTCAAATGTAGACAAAAGAATAAAAAGAATTAAAAACAAACAAAAAGGGGGCAGCTAGATGGCACAGTGAATTACAGAGCACTGCTCTGAAGTCAGGAGGACCTGAGTTCAAATCCAGCCTCAGACACTTGACACTAGCTGTGTGACCCTGAGCAAGTCACTTAACACCAATTGCCTGGAAAAACACAAACAAACAAAAAGACAATCCATAAACAACAGCAAAGTGAGATTACATGATCTAACTGAGCAGAACTTAGACTAAGTTCAAGACAAGCTAAGATAAAAAAATTAATGACTCATGCTATAGCATTACATGACTGAAATTAATTTAGCAAAAATCATTAAAATGTACTCCAGTACTAACATTTCAGAAATTGAGACTGGTTAACAGATTTGATGGCCATTATGCAATGACAAAGTCAGTAAGAATTCATCTTGCATTATTTAATAATTACTTTTTATCCAGCAGTCTATCAACAAAGTCTCAAAACAACACTGAATTTCTAATCAGGCACAAATGCCAAATTCTTATGGCATACAGCATGGTCTTAACACATAGTGGAAAAGCTGGCAAGTCATTTTCTCAATTGATGAGGCCAAGGCATATTATAAAACTCATCCTATGAATAGATTTTCAGGTATTAAGTGTATCATACTTTAACGAAAACAAAGCAATTTTTTCAACTCAAAAGCAACTAAAACTTACCAGCTTAGGTTATGATGTATTAACAACATAATTTAAAATTAAGCAGATTCACAATAACTAAACACCAATTTTATAAAAACTGGTTAATTTAGTTTATTTTAAACAGTTCATTAGGGTAACATATTAATTTGGATAATGAAATAATGTAAAAGTGGTAGTTAATTGGTTAATTTGGAGTGACTAGGTATATGCTAAGATTTGTCCTTAATCTTATAATAGTGGTCCAAATTGGAATTTAGTTATGGCTATGGTGCTATCTATGTAATTTTGAGTGTGCTCAGATTTTGGGGGTATAAGTTTCTTCATCTGTAGAATGTGAATAAGGAAGTAGGGTCTTTTTTTTTAACTTTTTTTTTTTTGGCTAGGCAATGGGGTTAAGTGACTTGCCCAGGGTCACACAGTTAGTAAGTGTTATGTGACTGAGGCCTGATTTGAACTCAGGTCCTCCTGAATCCAGGGCCAGTGCTCTATCCACTGCGCCACCTAGCTGCCCCGGAAGTAGGGTCTTAACTTCTTCATATAGATGTTAGGGAGATAAAGGAGTTGCTCCTTGAAGGCAGAGACTGTCTCATTTTTACCTCTGGATCCCAGTGACAACTACAGTGACATAAACACGAGAAAGTACTTAATAAATATTTAATTAGCATGTTAATAATAAATCATGAATCACCTTCACCCAATGCCTCACTGTAGAAATGTAGGTTGATCCTCGGATTTTGCAGGATATGTCAGCAGAACACAATGTCTGGAAGGTCCTACTGAGGTAGTTATGGACTGTCATTTGATCACTAGCTATGAGTGACGAAGCTTCTCACTAGAAAGCTGGCTACCAGTTGAAGAGCTTTTTGGACACAGCAATTCATATAATGTGGACAGACTTCAATGTGAATCACAAAAATTTCTAGCCAGAAGGGACCTGAAGGGTCATTTAATTCAAACCCCTTATTTCACAGACAAGGAAACGAAAGTCTAGGGACATGAAAGATAATGCCTATAATAATACAGATACTAACTGAGTAACAGGATTCAAACCCATATTCTCTGATTTCAAATCCAGGCTTCTTTTACTTGTACCATACTGATTCTTATGGGAGAGATAGGATTAGATTATATGCTGAAGAAATCAGTATAAAATTAGGATAGATGTTATACTGACAAAGTCATGGAATTTTCGACATATCAATAAGGGTAGCTCACATTTTAATAATACTTTATATTTTTTAAAAAAGCTTTCTTTACAACAATTCAGTAAGATGGGTGGCACAAGAATTATTATCCCTTTAACAGATGCAGAAAATGAGTTTGAGAAGTAAAATGATTTGTCTATGATCACTGGACGATACTTGTCAAACCCACAAATTCAAACCCAGACCTGACTCCAAATCCATTATTCTTTCTCTGGTGAAAAAGCACCCTGATGCCAATGAAAAGCTCACTAAAACCAGAGGGAACTGATCTCCTGACATAGATCCAGTGTCAATGCTAAAATAGTCCAATAATCATATTTACGTATTGACAAAATGTATAGCGATACCAAATGCTTCTTGCCAAATGCTTAACTGACATTTCCCCATTTCCCATCATTTTGTACATATTCTTACATCTTCAGATCCTTGACAAATCTGTGTCTGTGACAGGTAGCTGGCAATGTTATTTAGATGAGGTTTAAGGGATTGTCTTGAACAGCCTCTAGTAACTGCAGCCAGGACCATAAGGCAAGATGGACGAAGTGATTTTTTCAGTGCTGGCAAGATTAACTTCAGAAACACCTCAGGGTTGACAAATGTTCCAACCAATTCTGCTGATTTTATACACTGTAAGAGAAACCAAATATGTGAAAACGAAAATGATTATTTTGAAAACACAAAGAGCAAACAACGTATCCATGTTTTCCTTTCCTGCTCTCAACTGACTTCTGTCTGCTTTAATTCTGCACATTCAAAATGCTTTAGCAATTACCATGTAGCCTTTTCCACTCATCAGGTATTGATAAAAGCACATACGCAAAAATCTTTTTGGCACATAATTATAAAGCTCATAAGGCAAATAAGTTTTCCTCAGGGTCAGATAATTTTTATGAAAAAAGTTTAATTCACAGCAATAAAATACATGTTTTAGGGTAGTATAAACCTAAACTATATGTCCTCGATTTAATATCTGTTTCTATTCTCCTTCCCTTCAACCTTCAAAGTAATATGTGAATGACTAGAAATGTCTTATTTATATAATCATCCAATTTTTATTCCATCTTTATACTACTGTCAAGATAGCTTCTGAATTAGAATTCCAAATAAAACCTTCAGTAGCATGATGAAACACATGGCCCCTAGGTAAGCATAATTGAGATTAAAAAATAATAACCAGAAATTAGTCTTGTAGTAGTTTTCTGCCATGCCATTTGGGAGGTCTCAATTCACTTGCTTCATATTCCTATTCTTTCAACTAGCAGAAAATGATGCAGATGGAACTCCTTTCCAAGTGGAAAGGAAAGCTGCATAACATAACACTTAAAATCTATTCCTTCCTGAACACCAAAAAGTATTCTCAGTCCTTTAGAAGAGAAATTAAAACTGTTGGTCTAGAGAGAATAAATGAGACCAATACTCTTCAGCTAAAAAGCAGATAATTATACCAGAGAAGCAATAATAATTTTCACAAAGAATAAATAATTCAGAAGATGGGTGGTCATCTACCAGATTTTTACAGGGGAAAAGAAAATGTGTGGAGGCAAAAAAAATAATCTTAGAGAAACAACTATCATACCAGCAAAAAAAAAAGGGAAAAGCTCCATTTTCTTTGCAGAATCATCCATGCCAAGCACACTAATTGGGGGGTATTCCTCAAGACTCTGTCCTGGTACCTATTCCCTTCTCTCTATAATTTTCCCAGCCTCATCAGCTCCCATGAGTTTAACTCTTCATCTCTATGCAGACAATCCTCAGATCTCTCTATCTAACCCTAGTCTTCCTCTTTGGTTCTGGTCATGCACCAACAATTACCTAGTGTAAATTTCAAACTGGACATCCTTTAAGCATCCCAAACTCTTCATATCCAAAATAAAGCTTGTTCTCTTTTCTTCCAAATCCATCTCTCTTCTGAACTTCCTGATGACTATCCAGAACACCATCACCCTTCTAGTCACCATGGTTCACAACTCTGGTGTCATTCTTGACTCTTCATTCTTACTTCACATATCCAATTAGTTATTGAGTCTTGATGTCTTTGTCTCCAAATCTCTCTCATTTATTATATCCTTTCTTCTCTACTCAGAGAACCATCACCCTAGTTTAGGCCTTTGTTATCTCTCAGATGGACCATCTCACTCCAATAAGCCTTAGTTGCTCCCCTCCATTCATGCCTCTCTTCCCTCGGCTCCATCCTCACACAGCTGCCAAAGGGATTTTCTAATTGGAATTTAAAGCTCTTCACAGCCTGGCACCATCTTTCCTTTCCAGTTTTCTTACATATTACTCCACGTACTCTATGATCTAGCTGCCCCGGCTCACTTGTTACTCATCTGTGACACTCTATCTCCCTTTGCACCAGGTGTTCCCCAAGTTCGAAATGCTCTTACCACATGCTTAAGTCCCCTATTTCCTTCAAGACTCAGCTCCAGGGCTTACTTTTACATGAGGCTTTTCCTGTTCCCCTCCTCCAAGGTTACCCTGCATTTGCTTTACGTGTTTTATATCCCTATTGATGTTTTATGTACATGCCTACATAGGTACATGCTGTTTCTATTGCTAGAATATAAGTTGCTTGAGGCTACAAACTGGTCTGCTTTTGTTTTTTAATCCCTACCTCCTAGTCCAGCAACAGGCATATAGTATAAGCCCTTAATAAACACACTAAGATAATCAAACCCATGGGAGCCGAAGAGGTTACCAAGAGAAAGAGTGTAGCGACTGCAAAGGGCCTAAGAAACAAAACAAAAAAGAAAAAAGAAGAGGGCCTGAGATAATGCCTTACAGAACACCTACAGTTAGGAGACATGATGTAGATAATAAAACAGGAAGGAAAAATGAGGAGTGGTTAGACAGACAGGAGGAAAATCAAGAGAGTTATATGAAAAACCAAAGAGAAAGCAGAGCCAAGATGGCACAATAGTAGGAAATAGCATAGCTGCGCTTATTTCCACAAAATTCCTCCAAACAGACCTAGAAAATGTACCAGACCGAATCCTGACGTGAAAATCCAGAAAAGGTTACATTTTTCCAGACCAGGTCAGCATAGATCTTCAGACACTAGAGATGGAGTCAGACAAGGAGCAAACTGGCATGGGGGGCACTCCAGTGCCCAGGCAGAGGCTGTGCAAACAGCAGTCATGTGTAGACTCACACCAGGTACCATCAGACCCATAATGGGATACTGCAGTGGATACAGTGGCCACCTAGCAGTTTTGTTGCCCACTAACCAGTTCCCAATCAAAGATGGAGGGAGGACTGAGAAGGGGACCCGGTAGCAAAGAAATGGAGATTGAAGGGCTGTTCATCAATTGGGGAATGGCTGAACAAGTTGTGGTACGTGATTGTAATGGAATACTGTTGTGCTATAAGAAATAATGAGCAAGATGGTTTCAGGAAAATCTGGGAAGACTTGTATGAACTGATAAAGTGATATTAGCAGAACCAAGAAAACATTGTACATGGTAACAGCAATATTGGAACAACAATCAAATGTGAAAAACATAGCTACTGTGATCAATATGATGATCCACAACAATTCCAAAGGAACCATGATAAAAAATACTATCTACTTCCAGAGAGAGAACTGATGAACTCGGAATGAAGACTGAAGCATACTTTTTTTCACTTTATAGTTTTTGCTTTTTATTTTTTAATTTTTTACTTTTTTGCAACACGGCTAATCTGGAAATGTTTTGCATTACTTCACATGTGTGATTGATATCACATGGCTTGTCTTCTCAATGGGTGGGAGGAAGGCAGGAGGGAGAGAGAGAATTTGGAACTAAAAAAAATTCTTTTAAATGAAATGAATGAATGAATAGATAAATAGATAGGAGACTTGGGCAAGGGATGATGTTCCTGGGTAGAGAGGTCATGGACTATGTACTGAGAAAGAAGGAAGTTCTGAAACAGGAACAAGGGTATGGCTCAGATCCTAGAAGCAGAGCTGGATCTCTGTTCTAAGATCTAGGCCAGCCTGCAGAGGAATATCCAAGGTAGAAATCTCAGACCCAAGGGAAGCTGACCCTCTCTAAACCAACAGCGCTTTCCAGCTGATTGCTAGAGGTAGAGTCCAGCAGCAATAATATAATATTGCTCAGACCAAACTCCAGGTCAGGAACCTGTAGAACTAAGACCAGGGGGGCAGCAGACTTAGTTTTGGATCAGACTACTTTGGGAGCACTGAAATCTTGCAGGTCCCTAGTCTGTCCCTGAAATCCTGCAATAACACAACACTCAATAAATAGCTCAAAAAAAGCAGCAACAGGACCAGCTCAAACCTTCCCTCCAGAAGTTTGGCAGAGGCCAGCTCTAACACCAAGTCTAAAGTCAGGAAGTAAGCTGGAAGAAGCAAACAAAAAAAGAATCCCACTACAAAGAGCTATTATGGTGGTAAGGAAGCTCAAGACACAAATCCATAGCAGAAAGACTCCAAAACTTCTACAAGCAAAGCCTCAGGAAAAACACAGCTTGAGCACAAACTCAAATAGAATTCTCGGAGAAGATAAAGCAAGAGATAACAAAATGTTTTTATACACGGAATGAGAGCGCTTGAGTTAATAAAATTGGAAAAGAAATAAGAACAACGGAAGAAAGAACTGAAAAGAGAATTAACAGCTTGGTACAAACAAGAAGTATAAAGACTTACTCAAGCAAAAAATCAAAATGAACCAAATGACGAGACAACAAGAAACATTAGAAACAAAGACAATGTAAGATATATCACAGCAAAAACAAATTACCTGGAAAAAAGATCAAGGAGAAAAAATAAAGAATCATTGGACTATCTGAACATCAAGACAAAAAAAAGGGTTTAGATATTATATTTCTAGAAATATTGAAAGAAAACTGCCCAGATCTTTTAGAACCAGAGGGCAAAGTGGAAATAAAAAGAATATAATAATCACCTCCTGAAAGACACTTCAAAATGAAAACTTCCAGAAACCAAAATCCAGAGCTCTTAGGTCAAAGAAATATTTCAGTACTGCAAGTAGCCAGAAAGAAGAAATTCAAATATTGAGAGGCCACAATTGAGATTAAACACAATTTAGCAGTCACCACTCTCAAGGAGTGGAGAACCTGGAAAACTACATTCCAGAAGGCAAATGATGCATACTTACCAGTAACAACAACTTACTCAGCACAACTGAGTATAAATGGATTTTTAATACAACACAGGTCTTCTAAGCATTCCTCATAAAAAGATCAGAGCTGCAGAGAAACTTGGAAATAAAAGAGAAAGGGAGAAGTGGGGGAGAGGGATTTAGAGGGAGGAAATTAAGGGAGGAATTAGTCCTAAGGAAAACAAACTAATTAAGAATATACAGAAATATTTATAACTCTTTTTGAGGTCGCAAAGAAAGGAAATCTGAGGAGGTGTCCATCAATTGAAAATAGATGAACAAGTCATGTGACTGAATAGTACTCTGAAGTAAGAAATAATGAAGAAGGATTCTGAGAATTTGGGAAGCCTTGCATGAACTGATGCAGACTGAAGTGAACATAACCAGAAGAAAAATTTATATAATGACAATAGGGTATAAGAAAAAACTTTAAAAGAATTAGGAACTCTTATCAGTGTAATGACCAACCATTATTCCAGAGGACTAATGATACAACATGCAACCTACTACTTCCTGATAGAGAAGCAAAAGAATCAGAGTGAAGAATAAGACAAATTCTTTTGGACATGGTCAATGGGGAAATTTGTTTTGACTACATGTGTTTGTAATGGGTTTTGTTTTTCTTTCCTTCTCAACTTGGGGGTGGGGGGAGAGGTAAAAGTATGAGAAGGTATTTTTTTGCTGAGTGAAAAATAAAAGTGTCAAATGAAGCTAAGAGGTCAAGATGGATGAAGACTGAGAAAAGATGATTTGATTTGGAGATTAAAATTTAACTTTAGAAAGAGCAGCTTCAGTTGAAAGTTCAGAAGCCAAATTATAAAGGTTTGAGGAATGAATGAAATGAACGAAATGACTTCAGGGGTTTCGCTGAAAAAAAGTAAGAAAGATAAGAACGATAGTTTGAAAGAATGGTAGGGTCTAGGGAAGGTGACTTTTTTTTTCCTTTTAAGGATTAGGAGACCTGGGCATGTTTAAAGGTAATAGGAAAAGAATAGGGAGAGGTTGAGTATTAGAGTGGGTGGAAGAGGATAATTGATAATTGAGGCAATCTACTGGAATATGGAATCAAAAGTACATGCAGAGAGGTTGGACTTGTTAAGGTAGTCCACTGTATTATCAGAGACTGGAAAAAAGGAGGAGAGAGGCAGGTCAAAGGAGTATAAGATGAAGAGAAGGGGAGGAGAGGAAGCCCACGACAAAGAGATTCAATTTTCTCAGTAGAGTAAGAGGCAAGGCTCTCAGCTTACAGTGTCCCAAAGGTGGAAGTGTGGACACCTTGAGGACCACCTTTAAAAGCCTTATTTCCCATTATTTCTCTTCTGTACTCTTCATGCCAGTTAAACAATACTGTTGTCTTCTTTAAAGTTGGCAGGCCATTTACTGCCTTCATGCCTTTGTAGACTGTACTCTATCATTTCTACCTTTCTTAATCCTTTTTCTCCTTCATGGTTTGGCTCAGGTACTCTATTCTAGATCTCAATTTAATATTCTCTTCTTCCTCAAATTTTCCTCAAGTATCTTTTCTGGTTCTCTACCTTGACCACATCATATCATATTTTATATTATTATATATGTGCATGTTATATCCCTTCATCCAAATGGGTACGTGACTTAGACGTAAAGGGCAACACCATAAATTTGAAGAGCAAGGACGAAATTGCCTATCAGGTCTATGAATAGGGGAAGTGTTCATGATCAAACAAGGGACACAGAGGATCACGGAAGGTAAAACGGTCAATTTTAATTGCATAAAATTAAAAAGCTTTTTGAAAATATGAGGGAAAGGAACGTATAACTTTTTTCATCTTTGCATCCTTAGCACAGTGCCTACACTTAGTAGATACTTAATAAATTTGTTGAACTGCGGATATCAGTTAAAATCAAATAATTTTAGATGTATGAAAACTTATTTTAATTATAAATCAATCTCAACATTAATACTATGCTTCATGAGATGTAGGAAAGCTATATGGCACAGTAGATAGAGAGCTAGCCAAGAAGTCAAGAAGACCTAGTTTTGAACCTCACCTCTGACACATGCTAATTGCATGAACGTGAGTATGCCAATTAACATCTCAATGCTCTAGAAAACCCTTTAAATGATAAGTGACAAGACAAATTGTTGAACCGTATTAACAGAGGGAATTTCTACAGAAGGGAGTTTATTCCATCTATGAAATGACAGATCTAGACTACTCCCCTAACTCTCATCACCAAATTAATGAGATTATATTCCATTTAAAAGTTTTCTCTTAGGGGGCAGCTAGGTGGCATAGTGGATAGAGCTCCGGCCTTGGAGTCAGGAAGACCTGAGTTCAAATCTGGCCTCAGACACTTGATACTTACTAGCTGTGTGACCCCGGGCAAGTCACTTAACTCTGCCTCACCAGAAAGCAAAAAAAAAAAAGTTTTCTCTTGAGGCAGCTAGGTGACACAGTGGATAGAGGACTGGCCCTGGACTCAGGAGGACCTGTACACAACTAGCTGTGTGACCCTGGGCAAGTCACTTAATCCCAATTGCCTCAAAAAAAAAAGCATACTACAAATTAAAAAGTGAAATTTACCAGAAAGGGGTATACAATTATAATCATTATTAAACACAAAACTTGTTGCTTCAACACACTTAAATTTAGTGATTGTGAGACAAGATATATTTTCTAAACTATCTGTAATGCTTCAATTAGGTAGCATTTAAGATTAAAGTACTAAAATGTACTTTTAAAGCGGACTGCCACATGCTTTCTTTACAAAACAAGTCTTCAGATGTAATTTACTCAAATAGGATCTGTGAGCTTGCTAAGGTGGCTACTCATTTTCCTGGTACAGATGGCAAGGTTTCTCTGACTTCCCATTCTGAGCACTTCTTGTCTCTGTTCTCCAAACATTCCCCATAGGATATTTATCTACTCAGTGTTTTGAGGACCCTCCTCTAAGCCAGGGGCTCTTAACCCAGAGTCTATGAACTTATTTAAACACACACCACACACACACACACACACACACACACACACACACACGCATGCGCACATACCCTGATAACTATATTTCAATACAATTGGTCTTCTTGGTAATCCCTTGTCTTTTATTTTATTCATTCATAAATATTATTCTGAGATGAGGTCCATAGTCTTTAGCAGACTGCCACAGGGGTCCATGATACAGAAAAAGGTTAAGAATCCTCATTCTAGGTTGTTTAATATTCCATGGTTAGCAAGCCAGCATTCGAGCTGTCTACTGACCATCCCTCGCTCTTGCTTCATGACTAGTCCAAATTCTTTCTGCTACATTTTCTTAACGACACAACTGCAATCTATTTCTACCTACCCTCCTTCTCTCTTACTGTCATCAACAATTTTAATTTTTTAAAGATTACAGTGTTATATGATGAAAATCTAATGTAGAATTTATTTTTAATATGATGCAGATGGAATGAATGCCATTCTTACCTACATTATTAAGTGTAATTTTTCTCAAGAATGAGGAAAGAAAAGCATGTAGGAACTCTGGAGTCCTCCTTAGCAGAAGATTTTTAGAAAGACAAAGTAGTTGCGGCGTTCCAAATTATTCTGAATCGCATAAAAATTTGAAATTCATTTAAAAATGCTCACTTGTATGAGTATGAAATATGCACTCACTGATATGTACTACAGATGAAGTAAAATAAAATATTTTCATTCTAATTACAATTATTCTTTATACATCAAGATGATGTTATTAATTCCTCACTATATTGTGAGCTCCTTAAGGACAGGAACCATTTTTTGTCTGTTTTTGTATCCCCTGCATATGGCACGATACTTGGCACACAGTAGGCATTTAATAAATGTTAATGACTGACTAAAAGTCAGCATTGCATAATATTATGCTATCAGTATATTGTATGTTTTGAGATTTTTTTCTCCCTGTAATTGATAGATTTATAGTGTCCTGTTGCTGTCTTTTCTTTCTTTGTTTTTTTAAATATCAGCTGCACAAATTTGTGAGTTCGCTTGCCAGAGTCAGTGGCTAACTGTGTCTACGAACAGAGTAAAACCAACTGGTCCACATGTGATTGAGTTCGCCATAAGCATAGTGTTCTCATTAATTGAGCTAACTGGTTCCAGATGTTTAACTACAAGGTCAGACACCCCACTACAGAGATCATGTATTTAGGTTATATGACATCAGTATGTGTAACAGCTAAACTACAGTCTATAATTTAAGTTGTAGTTTTTATAAGCTTTACTATATGCCAAAACTTTCAAAACTGTCATAGCCAGGACTCCATCAATACTGGTAACTTTAGGAACCCTAATGACTCAATTCTTAATACTAGAGTGGAGTACAGGAATATAATACATTAATTGAAATCCATATATAGTACACCAATCTTCAACTTACTAAGTCCTTTACCAAAACAGTTTATCAGGAAGGAAAAGTGACTCATTTGGGGTTCACTTCTATCTTACACACTCAAAAAATTATGTAGTAAACATCAATGAAATTGTCAAAAGGACGGGAGGAAGGAAGAAAAATGGTCACTGTGATATACTTTAAATTAATTTCCAATGTGAGACTGTGATATACTTTGAGTTAATCTTCATTGCCTTCTTAAATTCTACGTAGAACAACAATTGGATATAGATTGGTCTCATCAGATAATTGGTTTGTAATCACTGTCAGTAAATGTTATCTTAAAAAAACAAAGAATAATTTCACACATGTGTGCATGAATTTTTTTATATCAGTGGAAATAAAAGCCTAAATAATAGCATTCAAAAAATTAATTGTTTAGAGGGATCAAACTTATTTTTATGCTTAAGGAAAAGAATATGATAAAAAAATTTAACTTACATTGTTAACCACAGACTTTTCGTCATCTGAGCAAGCCTGGTAAAGGGTTCTGAGCACTATTTCTAAGTGCTGTGTAATGTGATCTTCTGCATGGAGTAACAAGACAGCCAGAAGCTGAGCTGATTTTACTCTATTTCCTACAACCCAGTCTGTTATATCATTACAGATGGCCGGGAGAATTTTGGAGAGGTTTCTGAAAACAAGTTCCCGGCATCCCAATACTGGACGAATCACTGGAGGAAAGGGAAAAAAAACAATTAAAAACCTCATTCATACACTAAATTCAAGAAAAACAATGTAATATTTTAAATATATGAGGTTAGGTTTATAGGCAATACCACTTCTTTCTTAATCATCTTCCTCTAACACCTACCACAGTGCCCGCTGATAGGAAATGGTTACTAAACAGCTGATTGATAATAAAAGAAAAGTTACAAACTTAAGAAACATAGGTAGGTATGTACATAAGCAGGATAACTAAAAACCAGTGGAGATGATGCAAAGAAGAAAAATTTTGTTTTAACTTGTGTGTTCTCTTCCATGGGTTTCCTTATAATTAACTACACTAAGTCAAAAGGACAAATTTTGCTTCAAGATGAATATGTGCAAATTTTTCCCAATGATTTTGAGAAAGAGTATAAAGATATATGAATTAACAGGGTGCTGAACATACAGGTTATCTTTTGAAGTCGTAAAAAACCCAACATTTCCAAAAATGATAAGTAAAACGATAAAGCACGAAGATTTAAAGAGTATGTTCTCTTAAAAAATAGTGTTTACTAATGATTTCCCTCATTTCCTACCTTTCTCCTTTTACCTGTTATCCTTACAGTATGATAGGAATTTCTTTGGAATGATTCATATCTTATTTACTCTTTAAATTAAATTATTGTTATTTTTTTAATCCACTATTTGCCATTGCCCAACAGGTAATCTCAGACTGTGCTTATATAACAAAAGACAGTTTGAAAACCAGCAGACTGAATTTTTTAAAAAGTCTACAAAAGTGGTTGTTTTGATAACCAGTTTGACTGAATGCAACCTGTTTCATCCCTCCTTTATCAGTCCCAAACTGTGTGCCTATGTAAATGACTGTATGCACACGCATATACTCACACATATCTTAAGTACAGTGTTAGAGCTACAAAATCTATAACAAAATTTAAAAATATCTAATATAGTAAATTACCTCCAATTTCAATTTGTGGGAAAAAACCATCTAGAATTATAAGAAGTAACAACAAATGGGAAAAGGTCATCTAAAAAAATAACCTTTCTACAAAGATAAATATGGAGTGGAATCCTATTTGACCAGAGGCATAAATTTAAAAAAAAAAAAGATTCTTTTTGCCCATTCCCTTTCAAAAGTTCTTTCATTTCAAATGTTTGAATTTAGACATTTTATCCCTCTAGCTACCTGCTGTCAAAGATTTTTTCTTTCTTTCTACAATACATGGTCTGCACCTGTATCCTAAGGCAATGATTGTGGTTGCTCAATGGAAAGTCATTCAATTGTTCTGTTGGCTGTGAACACTCATCAGTCTTCACTTTCCCAGCAACCTGCAATGGTTATCATTGGGAGATCAAAGCACAAGGTGGTTGTGGTGTTGCATTCATTAGTTTTTAAGCAGAAAAAGATAGTGGGCCAAAAGAGGACAGAAGCTAAATTTATTTCAGTTTGAAAGAAAATCAGGCTTTACTATCTGCACTTAAAATTATGGAAAAAAGAACCTTAAGTTCAGGCTTTTTCATTATTATACAGTAGCTTAAAAAAAAAAGTCGGATGCAATTTGGCAGGAAAGGTAAACAACATGAATTTACCCTAAGGTCTAAAGCAATTATTAACTTCTTAGGACTAGAGTCTAAAACTACTAGGTCAGGTGCCCAGAAAGCTCAGCAATCACCTATTAATCTTTTCTTTGAAAACATAATTGCAGTACTTTAGTAAGCAAAATGCATGGAAAAAGACAATTTAAGCAGGCAAAAGTCTGCAAAACTGTACAAAGGGAACAATGGCACTGGTTAAGCTTTTAAGTAACACAACTGACAATTATATTAAAAGATTTATTCAACCTTAAGTAACAAGAGATAAGAGTGATGCAAACATTTATGAAGCTAACTCCTATTGTTTATTTTCACTACAGAACCAAAATAAAATGGTTAACAGTTTAACTTCTGAAAGTGCATGATAAGGAGGAGAAATAATTGATATAAATTCAATGCTAGACATAAAACATGATGGAGGCCCAAAGTTGAAAAAGGGGGATATTCAAAAGGAAATCAAAAGTAATAGTCATGTCAAAGTTCACATCTTAACTACAAACTGAGACCTAATAGGTGGGAGAAGGAAACAACCTTTATAAGCAATAAAATGGTATTACCTTTCACTCCTGAAGATCAAAGTTCAAATTTTGGCTTAGGGCAAAAGCAAAAATGAATTTAGTTGGACATTTCCTGTCCCTGCTTTTTCTCATCACAAAACCACCACCAAATTTGGCTAAATTAACGTAAGAAATAATTGTGAAGACAACCTTCTGTCCTCCCCCACTTAATGATAGTGGAATCTCAGAATCAAAGTCAATAATTTAAGACTTCTAATTAATACTTCCAACTAAGTAGAAACCCATAGGTTTAGTATTAGAAACTCAAAATCACATTCATTCTCCTAAAATGACTTACTGTGTGCCTTTGGAAAATCACTTCTCCATGCCTCAATTTCTCTAACCGTAAAATAGGGACAATAAACGCTTATAGACATATAGTTAACAACTGTAAAATCAGAAATTTAAGAGATTACCAAAATACTTCTAAAAATTCTTCCAAAATGTGTTGTATACAAATACCTAAATAAGGTCAATCAATCCAGTATTCATTCTCCAATACATCAACAATACAGTATAACCAAAAACCATCTTAGCATCTAGGTGGACAGTGAATAGAGTGCCAGCCCTGGGATCAAGATTGTGACCCTGCACAGGTCACTTAATTCTATTAACCTCAGTTTTCTCATCTGTAAAATGAGCTGAAGAAGGAAATGGCAAATCCCTCCAGTAACTTTGCCAAGAAAACCTCAAATGGGGTCACAAAAAGTTGGACACAAATGAAACAACTGAACAACAAAAACCATGTTAAAGTCATGAAACCTTGCTACAACATTATCTGGTCAAATGACCATTTACAACATTGTTCCTATGGAACTAACTCCCTATTACTCCTCGTTCCTTCCTACTCTACACCTTTTCACTTAATATTTTAAGACAATATAAAATAATATATTCCTATGCTTTAAAAGACTTCCTTATGTCAAAGGGTTTAGTGGAATAATTGTACTGTTATTTAATTTTCATGGCTGACAATATAATTTTCTTCTTACACACAACTACCATTTTTCAGATAAGTTGTGGCTTTATTAGTTATCCCAACAACCAGTACTTATTCAGCCCCTACTATGTACATAACATTTCTAAGCTGTATTGAATATTAATGTATTCTGATCATTTACTGTAAGGTTTTATGGTGTCGTTTTCAAGTAATTTATTACTTTCCATCTACTGCGTTATAGTACTACTATCATTCTGAAGAACCCCAACATTAATTCAATGTAGTAGTGTTTAAAGTTGAAGGCTGGTAAGACTCAGTTTTGTAAATAAGGATGAGACACTTTAATACCTCCATGATTCTTTCACAGTTTTCTTCCTCCTTGATATGCCTACCAGAAAAGTCATTAGAAATCAGTGATATTGTGAGACCTGAGACAAACGGCCCTGAGCTCTGAAACCAATTCTTTTTTTAAACGTAACCCAACACTGTTATGGACAGAAGCACTGTCTATTGTGAGTAATTTCTTAAAAATAGTGTTCCCACATATGAGGTATATTCACACTTGCACACACTAACAAGTGAGCAGAAGAGTGAGGGGTTAATGGAAGTGTTTGAAAGGTTCCAAAGCAAGGGCTTTAGAATAAATGTGTGGAGGGTGACACAGCAACAGGAAATCATTCAAGAGGTCAAGTTAAGGGTGGGAGACAGTCTTTATCCTCATTAATAGCTCCAATCTAACTCAGTGGCCAAGACTCAACAACAGTCAACAACACTTGAAAGTCTATGTAAAGCTTCTCCCCAATCCAACACTCCTCTGCTGTCTGCAATTTTTAAGATACATCACACACTGTGTTCAAACCTTTCTCCTTTCCAAGACTGAAACTAATACACCTCAAAAAAGTAGTGGTAGTCTAGGTTGTCAGTCATGGAGTGAAACGACACAAAACCCCATTATAAAGAAATGAACGACTTGCATTAAAAAGGGGATTCTACTTGTATCACAAGACAGTCAAAGTAACGATGAGATTCCATTCTCTTGCATAAAACAAACCTGGCAGGTCACTCATCATTATGAAGAAGTGCTTGCCCTTTCACTCAAGCATTGGAAAGGGAAACAATTTTAATAGAAAAATAATTTCAAAGGAGGACTCCGGAAACCCACTGTCACAAAGAAATCTTGCTGCTGGGGATTCCTGCATGTGATTGTCAGATACATGTCAAGCATGAACTTGCTCTTTTGCAGTCTAAGAGCATTATGTTCTGGTAAATGACTGTCTTGAAGACTACAAATGACCCTCTTCTAATCTTTTCGAAGGCTCCCTGTGGCATTCAAAAGACATCGGCACAGCATATAATAGGAAACTTGCAGTATTAAGGAGCTACCTGGAAACAGTGTGGCCAACAAATTTGGTTGTTGTGCTTTTCACACCTTATTTTCTTTAAAATAACCAAAATTATAATTCAACACTGTCTAAACTTCTGATCTGGATCTTTCACATCTTCATTTGAAAGGGTATTAATTATATACGAGCACAAAGTTTATTAATAGTGACTTAAGGTTCATTTCCATAAGCTTGCCAATATAGATTTGGGATACTGTAAAGAACAGTTAGTCATGAAAAATCAGATTTTAAAATGTAGACTTAGAGCCTAAAAACAGAAAAGTAATTCCAGGAGAAAATGTTGAAAATCTAATAAAGTTTAGATTTTGTGAGAACTGAAGCAAAGGTTCCCAAGCATTAAAATCACTGGTTTTTTTAAACATAACCTAACATTGTTACGGCTAGAAATACTTTACAATGGATGATTTTATTTTTTCAATTGCTCATACAAAGAAGCAAAGATAAGGTCACTATCGTACTTGCAAACACCAAAAAATTACTAGAGAGAAAAGATGTTGTGCAGACAAACTAAATAACTCAATTCAATGGTGAAGTCATCATTGGAATAAACATTGCTCCAAGAAAATGTTAGTCCAATTATATTCATCCATGGGATGGATAACTAACTTTTTCAAATTACTGGTTATAAACATTCCTTCTGTTTCCAACAGTTTTTTTTTAAGTGAGGCAAATGGGGTTAAGTGACTTGCCCAAGGTCACATAGCTAGTACATGTCAAGTGTTTGGTCTGAGGCCGGATTTGAACTCAGGTCCTCCTGACTTCAGGGCTGGTGCTCTATCCACTGCACCACCTAGCTGCCCCCTCCATCAGTTTTTACTTCATGCTCTGACAGGAACTTATATTCCTGTCAGACTCTGAAAGAGGATCTGACAAAATTAATATTTTAGTCTATTCTAGACTGGTTTGTTTCATTGGGGAAATATATTTTGTTCCTTTAAAAATAATTACCTGCATTCCTGTTGAGAAAAAGGTACGAAACTTTCCTTACTAAGTATTTAATAGATTTCTTTACTTATAAGGTGGTAGCCTTGGAGGCAGCTAGGTACCACAGTGTTGGGCCTGGAGTCAGGGAAGACTCATCTTCCTGAGTTCAAATCTGGCCTCAGACACCTACTGACTGTGTGACTCTGGGCAACTCACTTAACCCTCAGTTTCCTCATCTGTAAAATGAACTGGAGAAGGAAACAGCAAACCACTCCATATTTTTGCTTAGAAAACCCCAAATGGGGGGCAGCTAGGTGGCGCAGTAGATAAAGCACCAGCCCTGAAGTCAGGAGAACCAGAGTTCAAATCCAGCCTCAGACCAAACACCTGACACTTACTAGCTGTGTGATTCTGGACAAGTCACTTAACCCCAATTGCCTTAAAAAAAAAAAAAAGAAAGAAAGAAAGCCAAACCCCAAATAGGATCAGAAAGAGTCAGACGTGATTGAAAGGACTGAACAACAACAACAAAAGCCTCACAAGTCACTAGAGCTGGGAGGGATCATGAAGATCTTCAAATTCAGCACTGCCCAATTAATGATAAGCAGTCACTTTTCCAATTGTTGATAATTAACAACTCAGAAAACTTTTATTACCAAAATGTCCTTACTTATTTAAGCCTAGAAATTTCAAAACACAAAACCCAGATTCTTCACACCTTATGCTCTCCAAACCTGGGTAGGAGCCCTTGAGCAAACTTCCAACCAAGTTATCACCACTGAATTCCACATCCCAGTATCTCAGTTAGGCAGCTCTGGGACAAACCTTTGAACTACTGAAAGCCATCATATTTGAAATGATCCATGTAGAAAATTTCGACACTGTATAGCAGTCTGCAGCATAAATTATGCTACAAAACACTGATCCAATCCAAACACATCAATTTTTACAAAGTTGATTTATCCCAATTTCCATACTGATTTGTGGCAAGTATGGGCCTACTTAGTGCCTTTCACATAGAAGGTACTCAAATATTTGTTCACTGGTTTAGTAGGCAATTCAATAGTATAGAGATAATAAAACTACAGTATTAAGAATGTGAAGAAAGTTGTTACAAAAATAGTATATTCTATGAAGAATTAGTCATATCTGACCCATTTATAAAGTTTTAAGTCACCTGACAATATTCAAAACCAAGCTGTAATTCTGTCACGCTATAGACAACCAAATGGCTACTATACCACTGCTAAATAACACAAATGTGAATTTTAAATACCAGTCAGAGAGAGAAGATTACCAGGGTTTCAAAGGTGGGGGGAATCCTCAAAAGGCCCTTTATGGGAAAGGGGAAATAATTTTAAAAATAAGAATAAGTATTCTTTACATTTTGGTATGAATTTTGATCCCCCCCTTTTTTTTAAAGAGAAGAATTCCTTTTCAAATCCATTTTGTAAATCAGTATAAAAAACTACTGATTCTAATTGTTTTAACCTTTTAAGTCTCTCCCTTTATCAAAGTCCCATTCTAATAAAAAAGATTATGCCACAGGAGCTCAAACTATAGCAGGTTTTGAATAGAGATGTGGTAGTAGACTTTGCATGTTTGTAATCCATGGACCAGCCTATCCAAATTTGGAGAGGATAACCACCAGGTTAGGTGATGAAGTTTAAGGCCAGAGTTACTCTGAAAAACTATAAACTAAGTCAGAGAGGGGTTGCTATCTGCACTGGTGGAAGCAGTATCCATATGGATGAAATCCCTAATCCTTGAAATATTGAAGCTACAATTCTGATTCATGCCTTCTAAAACGTGCATGCTTATTTTACACTAGATTTACTGCTCTTTACCATAATATTTGCAGGCTGAGCTACAAGTACAAGATCTAATGATAGAAAGAAAAAACATTATTTGATACAATGATTCTGGTAAATAGGAAAATCCCAGTTTGATAGTAAATCTATCATCAAATATTATACAAAAAACAATGTATTTTAATGCTGTATTTCACAGTTTGGCAACACTATCCTTGAAGGCAAAGATGTATGATCTTCAAGATCATTTTAACATCAGAGATTCAAGCAAGAGAAGTGCTACATTAAACTATTAGATTGTAAATATCCCACACATTCACTATATATTTGTTTCATTCAAGTTCCAGTGTGTTACTTTTTTTGTCTTTGCCAATGCATATATTATTACTTTAAGAAACAAGTATTCTAGAGTTCAAATCCGGTCTCAGATCAAATACTTGACCCGCACTAGCTGTGTGACGTTGGGCAAGTCACTTAACCCCTATTGCCTCACTAAAAAAAAAAGTATTCAGTACAAAAATATTTATAGCAGCTTTTTTTGTGATGGCCAAGAATTGGAAATTAAGGGGATGCCCATCAATTGGGAAATGGCTGAACAAGTTGTGGTATACGAATGTAACAGAATACTATTGTGCTATAAGAAACGATGAGCAGGAGGACTTCAGAAAAACCTAGAAACACTTGTATGGACTGATGCAGAGTTCAAGAGAATATTGCGTGTGACTAACTTTTCATAGACTTGGCTCTTCTCAGCCATGCAAGGATCTAAGACAACTCCAAAAGATTCATGATGGAAAATACTGTCCACATCAGAGAAAGAACTATGGAGTCTGAATGCAGATGGAAGCATACTATTCGATCTCTTTTTTTCTTTTGTTGTTTTGTTTTGTTTCTTCTTTCTTGTGGTTCTTCCCATTGGTTCTAATTCTTCTCTACAACATGATTAATGTGAAAATATGTTTAATATGAATGTATATGTAGAGCCTATATCAGATTGCATGCCGTCTTAGGGAATGGGGAGAGGAAGGAGGAGAAAACTGAAAACTCAAAAGTTTATGGAAGTGAATGCTGAAAACTAAAAATAAATTAAAAAAAGAAACAAAATACTTAATTACAATGAAAAAGTAAATAATATATTTTCATAATCTATTAACAAGTCAAAAAAAAAAGGAGAGAAACAGGGAGTAATTAATCTTAGCATCTATCCAAAGACACAGGAATATCATGAAATATAAGAGCATCACCTGACTTGTGGTTTAAGGGTTATCTTCATACAGATATCTACTATAAACATTTTCCTAACACCTAATTCAAGAAATATCAGAGAACATACAGAGTCAGGAATTCCCAAGAAATCTGCTGTAAGGAATCATTTGTGATTCCAATACCTAAAGCACATTACCTGGACCAGAACTGCCATGACTAAAACAAAAGAGAGGACAAACAAACCATTTTTCTCCTTAGTTCCAACTTGGTGGTTCTATTGCCTCTTTTCCAAATGGTATGAAAATCTACTTGGTTGTTATGGTATATAACCATTTCTGTAAGATGAGTAAGATTTTCAATTTGACAAAAGAAACAACAATTCTTTAAAGACACCGATACATAATATTGCCTTCCAAATTAAACTCAGACAGTCATATAATTTTAGTCACTTAGACTTTCCTTCAATTTCAGAATTCCTTTCCTGTACAAATAATGATTTGCCATATTGTCTGCCCCATATTTGGACAGCTAGGTGGGACAGTATATTAAATGCTGGGCCTGGGGGTCAGGAAGACCTAAGGCCAAATCCAGCCTCAGATATTTACTAGTTGTGTGACTTTGGACAAGTCATTTAAACTCTGTTTGCCTCAGTTTCCTCATCTGTAAGTTAGGAATAACAACAGCACTTACCATGAAGGATTTATTGTGAGGATCAAATGAAATACCATTTGTAAAGCACTTAGAGCACTGCCAGATAAATAATAGGCACCATATAAATATTTATTCCCTCCCCTCACTTGTCATCCAAAGAAGATCACTAGCTTTGGATTGTTTTTTGGAAATCTGGCTAATTACTATTTCATAATACTCACCTCCTCTGGGGTAATGGGATGGTGGAGGAGAAGCAAAATCAAGCTTATCCTTCAGATCATCTTCATTTTCTTTTTGCCACTGCAGACCTATCTTCTCCCAGAGGCTGACGGCCAATTCCCTACAATAAAAAAGAAAGAAAAATAATAAAAAATGTCAAGTATATATTCATGATAGGAAAGAATAGTGTTGGGAGGTATGAAAATCAATTCCTATTGATTCAAATTAAATCTGGCTGAATGAATGTTATTTGGATAGCCTGTGCTTCTCTGACTTGGTAAGAAAACTATAACAATGAAAGAAGATAACTGAATTTTTTACTATAGATGAATGAAAACCCAAGAATTGATTCCTTGCTTAATATCCCTGCACCAAAAGCACAATCAAGATGTAAAGTTCATATTTGCCTGATATTTTTAACAGTAAATGTTGAAAGAATGAAGTTATAGAAATTTTACATTCAAACTAATTTTCTAACAGTTGAAATACAATAGACCAGGGAGCAGCTAGGTGGCACAGTGGATAGAGCACCGGCCCTGGAGTCAGGAGAACCTGAGTTCAAATCCGGCCTCAGACATATAACACTTACTAGCTGCGTGACTTTGGGCAAGTCATTTAACCCCAATTGTCTTAAAAAAAAAAAAAAGAAATACAGTAGACCAGTTGGAATCTCTTATACGTGAACCTGAAACAAAGGCATATTTATAAATTATTGTTAAAGTTTTCGTTTCTGTGTGTGCATATACATACACAAATACATATATACATATACACACAGAAAAGGAAACTTGAAATATATATATCCTTATATACATATAAAATATATATAATTTACATAAAATTATGGATAATTAATATACAGAAACTGAAACTTTAAAAAACATGACATATATAAAACATAACTCTCTTTACATATATGTGTATATGTATATACAACACACACACACACACACACACACACCCCCATTCAATACCTCTGAGTTCTCAAAAGCTTACCAATGCAGCCCAAGCTCAGGCAGTTATTAACTAACTGGCTCCAAGTATGGACCCAGTTAGTTAATAGGCTATAAGTTTGTCATCTGAGGACCAGCCTAGTTAAGTTCAAAAAGACTTGTAGCCAGAATTCAGATGAATTAAAGCATTCTATGTTCCTTCCTTCATTCTTGAAGAAGAAAGCATGGAATGTTGCATATACTGGTTGATGTATTAGCTAATTTTATTATTGTATATAGCTACTGTATTAGCTAAAGGAGACTACTCTTGGAGATGAGAGGGGGAGAGAGAGGACAAGTGAGGCACAAATTATAGCAATATATTTTTTAATTAAGAAAAATTATATTTTTATATTAAACTTCAATATTACATCCTACTTACGTCACTTCGGGTATTTCATCATCAAAGCTGCTTAGTAACAAAGGAATTAGCTTATGAAAGAATGAATATCTGTCTCTCAAATGTAACAGCCAGTTTCCAACAACAGAAGTCACAGCATGTCGAACCTATTTATAAAAGAAAATAAGTTTTACTACTTTGCAAAAGAATACACAAGGTAAATTTTATATAATTATTTTTTAAAATCTTTAGTCACTCCCTTACAAACAATCCCTCCCAACAGTCCTGAACATGAATTTAAGCATCAATTAGCATGCAAGAATACTAATCTGAACACCCCAAAATGCAGTACTGGCAAATGAAGACCTTCCCCACCCCCATGTAAGGATTTCTGGTTCTTTAATCATATTCATAATTCTTCTACTTTTCATGTGGCCAGTTCTAAATAGAAAAAAATATTCAGGTAAGTAGAACAGCTCTGATTCTTGGGCATCTGGGAAGGTGAATTCCACTGCTTTCTCCAGGTGTGCTGGAACCCGCTTTGGGAACCCTTTTCAGGTGCTACATTTCAAAAGAGGTACTGGAATAGACTTCGTTACATTTTCAGAAACACTGACATGTAGACAAAGCACTTCATAGGCCTCACTTCCTAATGCCCAAGTAAAACCTTGATTTTAAGTAGCCGGCCATTGTGAAGTATTATTAAGCATAATGGTACTCTTAGGAGAAGAAAAAGTTAACAGTACCTAACTGCCTACTTTCTTTTTAGTAAGGGATTTAAACATTTGTTGGGGGTTTTCAGGCTTAAACACAATCTAAACAAATATTTGGTCAGTAGTTTTTTTGGAATGAATAAGTAATCAACAAGCATTTATTAAGGACCTCTTATGTACAAGCACTGGATTAAGCACTAGAGAGACAAAGACAAAAATGAATAGTCCTTGATCTCAAAGAACTTGCTTCATAGTAGTAAAACAAGTAGCTATCAAGTTCTCCTAGTCTTTCCTTCAGCAGTTAAATCCTTTCTAAAACATGAAGTTATACAATGAAAAAATAGAAATGACACAGGAATTAAAAATCAAAAACAGAAGGAAAGTGCTAAGCAAAAATATGTCATAATGATCAAAGTAACATACAGGAAAATAAAACTAAAAAGCACCAAAATTATTGTCATTTATGTAATGACTAATCTTGATTCCACAGAAATGATGGTGAAACATGCTTTTCTCTTCTTAGTAGAAAGATAGCAAACTCTGGGAATAGAATAATGCATATTATGTTGTACACAGTTTTACGCATTGATTCATTTTGCTTTTGTACTACTATGTTATAAAATAGGCTCCTAAGTAGGGAGGGATCACTGGGAAGACACAGCAATGATTTTTTTAAAAATATCACTAACATTTTTTAAGAAGCATTTTTCTCAGTGGAAAGAATGCATGTATCTCAATGAAAACCAAAGGAATACAAAATGGCTCTGAGTAAATTCTAAATCTATAATCTAATTATATAATTGTTACAAATTATACTTTTAATTTTTACATACAACAGTATGTAAAATGTAGTCTTTACATACAACACTAGGTAGGTCATAGAGACATAGTGATATAAATGGAATTGTTAGAACTGAATAAAGCTAAAAGGCAATTACTTATATTCTTATTTCTTACAATGTTATTCAAGACAAGATACAAACAAAGTTTAGGCAGTACTATTTGCTAATAATACTAGAAAGTCTGTCAGTCAATGACTGTATGCCAAAAAAAAAAATCCTAAATCCAACACAGGTAGTGCCAAAACATATGTAAGAATATACAGTACCTTCATGAATATGACAGCAAAGGCATTCAGAAGAATAATTAGAGACTTATACCGTGCCAATCTGGCAGGGTTTAAATATGCTCTTTAGAGAGTTTTATTTAAAAAAAAAACCCTTCCTGAGGTTAATATTCCAGAATACTTACAAACTTGCTAGAACAAGTTTTGGTGCGCTGTTTCTGCCTCTACTTTAATTTTGACATCTGGCACGGCTGTCCAGGCACATGGCAATCAGGACCTATACAATGGGCATTCATATCTAGAAACAAGAAAGAATGGAACTATTTGTAAAGAGTAAATTTTAAATTTCTCACTTTATGAATTGAAATAGCTAGGAAGGAAAAAAAAGGGGTGGAAAAAGGAGGATTTTAGGTATTTGGCCTACCCTCTCTCCTTTAATGAGAGCCTAGACAATCTTTTTATCTAGTTCTTGCCAGCATGCCAAAGAATCTTACAAATTTAACTTAGTGAAAAGGTAATTTATTCACTTTCTTTTTGTTCATGTGGGATAAACACTGTGTTGCCAGGTAACAGTTTTACTAAATAGAAAACAACAGTTCAGTAAAAATTTTTTAAAAAATCAAAACTTAACTGATTAGAGCATGGTTCAAAACAGAAAATTATCTACTTAACCTTTCAAGTTACTGACAATATCTACACATATACCCCAAGCCCTAAGGTGGGCGGACAGGACAGGGAGCTAGGCAAGAGATTCAAAAGGTAAAAAGCCTAAATAAAAAACAGATTAATGACATGTACATGAAAATAAATTACTATTTCAGGTCTCCTTTTTAATAAAAATCATTCTGAAAGAACAAAGTCCAAATACAACTGGAATTCTATTGTAACAATATCATTAAAATATTCAGTTCTATGTAAATAAGGCTGTTCTCAGAGTCTGGTCAACAGTCCATGCTAACATTCTCCTTTGCTGATACGGATAAATTCATAACCAACATATTCACCAGGTACATGTTTCTAAAATAACAAAATAATTAGGATTAGAAGGGACCCTAGGTCATCTAATCCAAAGCTCTCATTTCAGGGATGAGGGACTAATTAGAGAGGCCATGTAACTTGCCTCAAGGTCCATCACATAGTAAAGAGCAAGAATCCATCATTTTTTTTAAATGCCATCCTATTTTGGTAAGGTACTTATACATAGCACCTGTATGTGAATAACTAAAGAGGCAGGTTATGGAGCAGTGGATAGAGAACTGGGAGACCTACTCAAGTTCAAATCTAGCCTCAGACCCTTAGTAGCTGAGGGACCGTGGGCAAGTTACTGAATTTGTTTGCCTCAGTTTCCTCAACTGTAAAATGAGGATTATAACAGCACCTGCCTTACAAGGTCTTTGTGAGGATCAAATGAGATATTTATTAAAAAGTGTTTAGCACGGTACCTGGCACACGATAGGTGCTCTATAAATGCTTATTCTCTTCCCTTCCCTTTATAATGATCAGTCATTCAGTTTGTGAACCTTGTGTTTCTCAGAGCCTAAATATTTTCCAACAGCCCCAATCATCCTAACCAAAACCTCTTTATAAAAAGATTCACAAAATACCAAAATACTACCAACACAACATCCTGAAAACTTGTCACATCTAATTTTAAATTTCTTATAATGAATTCAAACACAGATACAGAAAACTGGCAAAGCAGCTTCTGCCTTGTCAGGTGTTACTGCTTTGGAACTAGCAACATTTTTCTTTTTTGTGTAACACCCCTTCTTCCAAATATAAGTATTATTTACAAATGCAGTAGAAGCGTCTAGTATCTGCTCTACATAAGCAATAATAAAAAATATTAATCACTCATAGTGTATCACTTCTTTGTACAGCAGCAATAAGTTTCCATTTTAAGACTATTACAACATAGCCATTTTGACGACCCTTAGATGAAGACTTAGAAAAGCAACCTTCTACCTAAAAGGGGTGCCCTATTTACACAGTATCTCATCTTCCAAAAAATCTCAAATCAGTTGCAGTGCTTTAGGGTCACATCAGACTCTTTTTTTGTCCTTTATTCTCTTTTTCCAGCTTCATATGATAAGTAAACTCCATTTATACAAGGCCTCCCAGCAGTGGATTCACATTGGGGTTTGGGGTCTGACTCACTGCAAGCTATATTCTTGGTTTCAGTCCATGTGCTATTCTGTCCAAAGTGCCCTCAAATACCACAACACTCTAAAAGTCTTCACTCTTCTGGTACTGGAGAATAAATTCTGGCCTGAAAAGGATCACAGCACGGTTGGAGACTCAGATCTGAACTCTTTATGACCTCATTTAAGGTTTTCTTGGCAAAAATACTGGAGTAGCTTGCCATTTCCTTTGCCAGCTCATTTTACAGATGAGGAAACTGAGGCAAACAGGCTTAAGTGACTTGCCCAGGGTCATACAGCTGTCAGTGGCAGAGGTGAATTCTGAACCCAGTTTTTCCAGCCCAGAAGGAAAGCACTTCAGTCACTGAAATATGCTGCTTCTAAGGAAGAGAGGTCGAGGACAGCTTTATGCTATGCTCTCTAAAACCCAAAACTTGTACAATATTCTGCATCCATAAGGGGGGGAGAGGGGTGTCACTCATTCCAGGACGAACCAGGGCCCAATTCTGCTTAGCTTCCAAGATCGGACAATATCATGTCAAAGAACTTAAAACGAAACACATTTTATATAAAATGACCTAATTGAAATATTTTCACTACAGATTTTAAAATAGAGGAGCATTGAGAGGAACTACAGAAAAGTGAAGTGTGCCCTATTGAAAACAGAGAAGTCAAGAATCCCCTAAGTCCAGGTTAGGGAAAAACAAAACAAAACTTTCTTACTTAAAAAGTAACTGTAATCGAATTTTAGGAAGAACATGTATGTATGGCCAACAGACACAGTACAATCGAGACAATTAAAATCTAAACGGTGTTATGAATTCCTAAAACCGAAGTATTAGTTCTTGTTGCTTTTGTGGGCAGTTTTCATATCTGTACAAATGATATTTACAGAACCTATTGTCTGCTGAAATAAAGAACCAAACAATTTTGTTTTAAAAATAAAGCTGAATATTTTATGTATATCTTTCATTCAATTATTCCATCTTTCTTTAATAAGAACACATTTAGCAAAATCTTGGCTGATAAAAAGGTGGAGCATGTCAACCTTTTACTCTCTAATTATTTGCCCATTCTAGGATTAGTGAGTGTATCCTAGTAAGCAAACTGCTCCCAAGAAGGCATGAATCCTTAACCTTAGGAAATGAAATAATGCCTTTGGCCACTAGTGTATTTAACTACCCTTTCTACTACTGATTTCCTATGACTAAAATTCTCATCTCTTTCCCTCTCAGTCCCTATGATTT